TTGACCACATTTGAGCTGAAGGTCATGACCTAGGAATCCCAAATTTTGATGCAAGTGAGTTCATGTACAGATCAATACACCCTGAGAATTTAGCATCTCTAGCTCTCTTAGTTTCTGAGATCTCATGGGGTCAAATTGACCCCCACCCAAACAGAGGGAATTCAGTTGGCCACCTGGGTGCAAGTTATGACTGTTACAGACTGATGCCAGTATGTAGGCTGAAACTAGTGCTTATCTGCTGGCAATCATGGAGGCAGAAGAAAATTCCTCCCTGGAACTTGTGGCATACCAACCTGTGAGGTTTGTCTGCCTTGCTGCCAAAGTTCACCTCACCTGCCAGTTACTTCAGCAGACAGTGAACCACCACTATGCCTGCAGTCGTCTTCGTCCACTACTTCGTGGCCGTGCTCTCTGGGGCTCACCGTGCCTTGTTCCACTGCAGCAGCTGAGCCAATTCTGGTACGATGAGCGCACGTGCCGCGTGCTGGGCGCGGAAGCGATGCGGTTGGCGGGACCCACCGGCCGCGTGGCCTGCCTCTCGTGTCCCACCCTGTACCGGCATCTGCGCAAGGTGCGGCCTGCCGGCCTACAGCGTGAGTACGCACACGGCCATCAGCTGGGAGGGGAGGTGCAAACAGTGCACGGAGTGGGCGAAGCTGGCAGCGAGCGGTTGTTTGTGACGTCGGAAAGCGCGGTGCCGATCACGCTGATTCATTTGGCGCCGTGGCTTGTCTCCGCGAAGTGACACCTTGTGCGCCTGTGCGGTGCGCCTGCCTTGCTGTACGTGCATGTCTCATGGTGCCCGCACGGCGCGGGGACGACAATCCCAGTACGTCGCGGACCGGATGTGCCTTCCTGACCAGTCAGACGAGGATGATTCATGCTTCGACCTGTTGTAACTGCTTGTTCTGTGCGGACAGTGCCGGTTGTGCCCACGGGTTGAATGGCTGCGTCCGCACCTGATCACCGCTCTCAGACTAGGGGACGCCTCCTTGGTCGGCAGTGACGCTGCTGGAGTATGACCAGCGGTTCGGCGTGTTCGGGTCCGACTTCGTCCTCTACGACTACCGGGCGCCGCTGGAGGTGCCACCGGCGCTGCGTGAGCAGTTCGACGTGGTGGTGGCCGACCCGCCGTTCCTCTCGGAGGAATGCCTCACCAAGACGGCCGTTACCGTCCGCCTACTGGCCAAACACCACGTCCTTCTGTGCACAGGTGCCGCTCGCTCTGCCGAGAGACTGTCGCCAACTCAGGTCGCTCTGCTTGAGGGTCTGAACCCGTGGAGTCAGATTTATGTCGTCACTGTATTCCGTGATGGGGCGGGTTTTGGCAAAAAAGGGCCTGCGAGATCAGTTTGCGATGTAGGGCACATCTGGCTTACGTCCATAGTGAGGCCATCACCAACTCTCAACCGCGGTTCCGTATGCGAATATAGCTTCCCCACCCGTCCACGTTATTGACCATCATGTCTCGGCGCCGCTTACCGTACAGCTACGTCTGTTTGCCGCTCAGCGCGCGGTGGGGCGATGTGGCGGCGTCTGGTGTTCGCCGGGTAACGCCCGGGTGCGTCCGGTCCCGCTCCTCCCCAGAGGGGCGTCGCACCGACGACACGTCTAACGCGAGCGTCCGCACCGCGCCGCAGGTGCCCAAATGGGCGAACTGGCCTCGCGGCTGCTGGGCGTGCACGAGTGCCAGTTCCGCCCCGGCCACACCCACAATCTGGCCAACGAGTTCCGCTGCTTCGCCAACTACGACCTGGACGCGCACGTCGCCAGCGGAGAGGCGGTCTCGTGACCGGTCCAGCGTCGGCGGCCTCGTGACCGGCCCAGCGCGGGTGGGCTCGTGACCGGCCCAGCGCCGGCGGTCTCGCGAGCGGCCCAGCGTCGGCGGCCTCGTGACCAGCCCAGCGCCGGCAGCCTCGTGGCCGGCCCAGCATGTGTGGCGAGGCGGCCTCGTGATCGGCCCAGCGCCGACGGCCTCGTGATCAGCCCAGCGCGGGCAGCCTCGTGAACGGCCCAGCGCCGATGGCCTTTTGACCGGCCCAGCGCCGGCGGCCTCGTGACCGGTCCAGCGCCGGCGGCCCCATGATCAGCCCAGCGCCGGCGGCCTCGTGACCGGCCCAGCACGGGCGGCCTCGTGACCGGTCCAGCGCCGATGGCCTCTTGACCGGCCCAGCGCCGGCGGCCTCGTGACCGGCACAGTGTCAGCGGCCCCGTGACCGGTCCAGCGCGGTCGGCCTCGTGACCGGCCCAGCACGGGCGGCCCCGTGTCCGGTCAAGCGCCGGCGGCCCCGTGACCGGTCCAGCGCGGTCGGCCTCGTGACCGGCCCAGCACGGGCGGCCTCGTGACCGGTCCAGCGCGGTCGGCCTCGTGACCGGCCCAGCACGGGGGGCCTCGTGACCGGTCCAGCGCCGGCAGCCTTGTGACCGGCCGAGCGCCGGCAGGCAGTGTCGGCGTTCCGTGAACGCCACGCTCGCGAGGGTCGGCCCAGACTTGCTCAGCTGTGGATGGTGCGGAGACCAATGGTCTTCCAAGACCGTGCAGAAATGTGATCGAAAGCGCATGTCAACTCGCCGCATTGTGGGAGGGGATGACGGTTATTGCAGTTGTGTATGATCTTTTGTCGTGGATTGTGCTTGAAATATTGCTGTTACGATTTTCTGCATTTTTCAGAATACACATGGCACATCTCGTTCCGGATGATCCAGCCTCTGTTACCGAACCTTTCTCTGGTGGCGGCGGGTATTTTACATAGCTCGGTGTGGATCATATATTGGGTCAGGCACGGTAGATACACGAAGTATGTTGCCAGCTTTGGTGATCGAGGGAGTGCCACAACTGAGGCGAAAGTGCTTATGGAGCTTTAGCCCCTCTCCCTAGCCGAATTCGATCGCAGTTTTTCACGCTTTGTGGTATAATTCTACAATCTGGTGATCAGGGAAGCAAGCTTAACTTGAAACATCATGGACTAGCATGGGCAGTGGCATGTGCAGCCCAAAATTCCTTATTGAGTGACAAGGTGAGTGGGTAGCCGAGTCAGTATGTACGGTACGCAGCTCTAGGACAACCAGCGTAAACCAACACCGATAGGTCATTAGTACGTTAGGTGTAGTGCCTACCAATGTTTGTGGTGTCTCCCAGTGCACAACGTGTAGAAATTTATCCCCCCGTCGCAAACCCTGGCTGCGTCCGGACATGCACATGGCTCCATCTTCTGGGGCAGCTGCGTGCGCAGATACGTAATCTGGCCCATCATCATTCAGCTGGGGCTGTTTGCCATGCGTACTCCCGCGACATCGGAGTTGCAAGAGCGCGCGGCATCCGTGCAGTGGGTGCACTGATCCGCCTAAGATAAGCACATTTTTAGCAGAGAAAATAGAGTGCCACGGTAGCCGAGGTGCGCGCAGCTGCCGAGAAGCAAGCCCAACCGCCAGCGTGGCTCCACCTGCGGTTCGGGCGAGTTACAGCGTCCAACCTGCGTGAAGCTGCGCAATGTGAAACCGCACGAGGTTCGTTGGTGGAGACGACGTGAGGTTTTAAGCCGTTTGATGGCTCAAAGGCCATGGTGAGAGGAGTGACCATGAAGCCACTTGCGCCGAGGCAGCCGGAAGACATGCTGGGTGTGAGTATGAAGGCCACGGGTCCTCCCACCTTGCCCGCCACGCCTGCGCTTGCAGTGAGCCCAAATGAAGTGTGCGTAGTGCATAGCGTGCCGGCCATAATTTAGGCGAAGTGCTCCACTGCCGGGAGAAATTTCAAACATCTGGACGACAGCAGTGTAATGACGGTGACTGCAAGTCTGGACGAAAGCGGCGTAAGGACAGCCAAAGTCTGGACGAAAGCGATGTAATGACCCCCGAAGTCTGGACGACGGCGGTGTAATGACAACCAAAGTTTGGACGACGGCGGCGCAATGACGGCCAAAGCGTATGCGCAGCTGCAGCTGCAAATGCTTGCCGCGGGTTTCACCTATAAGCTCATGTGTATTGGCAACCCACAGTTTGAGATCAATGCCGTGATTCGCATCATCTGTGATGAGTTCGAACCCTCGCTTCATCGGACCCATCATGGGACGAGCGGAAAAGTTCTGGTGTGCGACTGTGCTCCCCGCATTGCTACGAGACTTATTGGAGCACTATTGCGTCGCTCAGAGGAATGCGATGCCAGTGGTGCGTATTGGCATCTTCCTTATGTATTTCTGTAACATAGCCTAAAAAAGCGCGTATAGTTCTGATCAGTTCGCTGCAGCAAGTGTGTACTTCCTGCTTTTGGTGTGGTTCATCCAGTCCATCGGTGGTGTCCGGCGTTCTTTATTATAAAATATAATGCGCGTGTGAAACATCTCACGCGTTTCAACAGAATGCTGGTAAGTGCCGATACACACGACACGATGTAGTAGCTCAGTGTGACAACAGTCCTGCATGATCTGTGCGGACAAAGCACAACCACTTAAGTGGTCTTCACAGCAGCATCACACATTCCTGGAAGTTAAGATGTGTGGCATCCATCCTCATTGCGGCCTGGGCCCAGCTCCTAGGTCATAGACAGCCACACGAAAGAACTTGTTAGGGGTCTTCGCTGATGACTTGGTTCATTTTGGATCGAAACAGATCTTCATTTCCCTGCGAGTGCGCACCACCTAAGATGTGTATCCAAGATAACTAGTATTCCCAAATTCCTCCCGACCTAACGGCAGATCGCCAATTCCCGTTACACATTCAACCTCTATGGCCATGGCCGCAGACTAATGTGATCGTGACGTCACGGATGAAACGTCAAAACTTTATGAAAAAGTAAAATGTAGACGGTTTTAACGTGCAAAAAGGTTCCAGCGACGGTGGCCATATATATATATATATATATATATATATATATATATATATATATATATATATATATATATATATATATATACACAATCTATATTTAATGGCTGGTTTGACGCTGTAAACAAAACATGTGTCCCAGACTCACAGACCTTTAAATGAAATGTTTTCCGTAGGTTGTATTTATTAATCCGCCAAAACGCCAACGGAAGTTACAGTCTTGGACGGAGACAGTAACTTCCTCCATACACACAAGTGCTGCATCCTGCGCTTGACGTAGCCTTTCATGGCGTCAGCATGTCACTGACGTCGCGGCGTGTCGCAACGGACAACATACGCACATGAGACATAACATGACTTGTCAGTCGTCCAGACGGCGATATCTGCAAATCAACAAATACAAAACATTGACAAAAGTTACCTTGGTAGCCCGTCGTCTCGCTGCTCTCCGTCCGCAATTCAAACAACGTTTGCATTCGCCGTCACAAGCTCTGTCGCACCGAAGGTCCGGCCATTGAAAGTCTATAGCATCTCTGATATAAAACTGATTTGTGGCAAGACACCTTGTCTGTGCAAATGCACGCGGCGTGCGCATATTGTCCTTAGCACGTGGTGGCGTCAGCCCGCTGCTCGGCGAGCACAACAAAGTACCATATCCGTGGTGCGCGACGAGCGCGGCTACGGCCGGTCCTGAGCGGCGATCGGACCCAGCCGACCTCTGACGTTACACCGCGCGTCCGAGGCGCATCAGTCGTCCGCCCTCGGCTGGCACTCAGGTGAGCTCAGTGACCTCAGGTCAAGACGCAGCAGCTCCAGACCCTCGCCGTACACCAGCACCATGACCGTCCTGAAACAGATATGTCCGATTTCCATCAACCACAGGCACAAAACGTCTTCACCAGCAAATACCATATTGTGGATGCCACGCCACTCCGTAGCCCGCAAAACCCGGGAATATCAGACTTCGCACCAGACACTTTAGGACGGTGGCATCGCCTCTACACAGCTCCTACGCACAGCAGCTGCACAAAACCGTGTCATTGTCAATGTCGCTTGTAGCGCAGTGCGACCAAACCGCTGGAGACCCTGCTCCGCGGCGCCGGCAGCGTCGCTGAGCGACGGCTGCAGGGAGCGACGGGGCGGGACACCGACCCACTGACCCGTCCTCGGTTGAAGCGACGGGCGCAGGGCGCCGACCCACTGACCCGTCCTCGGTTGAAGCGACGGGCGCAGGGCGCCGACCCACTGATCCGTCATCGGTCGGAGCGACGGGAGCAGGGCGCCGATCCACTGACCCGTCCTCGGTCGGAGCGACGGGCGCAGGGCGCCGACCCACTGACCCGTCCTCGGTCCAGAGCAGCGCGCCTTTGGCGTCCGCCACGGCCGTCAGGCGGGTGGAGTCGAGCCGGAGCCGGCCGGCGCGCTCCGACCAGACGCACACGCGCTGGTCCACCGACACGGAGAGCAGACGGCCGTCCGGCAGCCAGAGCACGGCTGCAACACCGCACACACGGCGTCAGGCGCGCTCCTGGGCACGGCGACACCCAGCACGGACGGCGGAGGGGGAGGGGAGGGGGAAGGGGTTCATGGAAACTGTGAGCGGGAGCTCAGGTGAAGATGGCAAAACATGAGACACCAACCGAACTTCCTGGTACTGGGACACCCCCACAACCTAATGAAACTTGGTTCTTTGATGATAATTGGGGTTTTAGGGCGCGTCGACTTCCAGGGTCATTTTGCGCCCAGAAAACCTGGTTCTTTACACATTCCTGTAAACACGAAGCAGAGGGAGCACGGAATTCAGTACACATTTCAGCACAGGTAAGGGTCTAAAGGGGACACGGCTAGGGCAATCTCGGTCATGGAGGAACGAGACATTATGGACTGATGGCCCGTGCCACAGCATGATCGGCTGAAAATAACCCGAACCTGGCAGTGATGTAAGGGGTAATTTTTCTCATTGGGACATTTTTATTAAAAGTGGCCAATCATAAAACTCGACTCATAGCTCGCTGACGTCAAAATGGTTATAGGGATCGCCACAAACTCAAGCTGACCCGGAAGACCGGATCACCTGCTTAGCCTCGCAATGGTGGTATACCACACCAAAACATATTGTTCTGGTGCCCGTGATATTTCAGCCAAGCCGGCAAGCTGGCAAAACCAGTACTCAAACAGGCAGCACAACACCAGGGACTTGATCTCCACAGCCAGCTGTGATCAGGGGACATGACCTCTGTCCTAGTCTGTGACCTGACCTCCGTCATCATCTGTGGCCTGACATCCACTCCAAACTGTAGCCTGATCTCTGTCCTGACCTGTGATCTGGGAGGTGTGCGCGCCCGTCTGGCGGGCAGCCGTCTCCAGCCGAGGCCGCGCTCCGTTTGTCCGCAGCTGGCTGAGGCAGAGCGCGCCGTCATCGCCGCCGGTCAGCAGCTGAACGGCGCCGCCCGGCGCCGGCCGAACAGACAGCGCGTTCACGCCCGACTGGTGCAGCGGCGGCAGCGGCAGCGGCTCCGGCTCCGGCTCCGGCTCCGGCTCCGGCTCCGGCTCCGACTTCGGCTCCGGCTTCGGTTCTGACTCCGACTCCGGCTCTGGCTCTGGCTCTGGCTCTGGCTCTGGCTCTGGCTCCGACTCCGGCTCCGGCTCCGGCTCCGGCTCCGGCTCCGGCTCCGGCTCCGCTCCCGGCCGGCACAGCCAGACGACGCCCGCGGTGGTGGCGGCCATCAGGAGCCGGCCGCTCCAGCGCAGACGCAGCACACACTGGCCACCGAGTGACAGCTGGCGCAGCGGCGTTAGCCGCGGCGCTGCATCGCTGAACGCGAACAGCCTGCCGGCAACCGGCATCTGAGCTGAGACGAGCTGCAGCAGCACCGCCAGCACCGCCGGCCGCTGAGTTGAGGCGGGCTGCAGCAGCACCGCCGGCCGCTGAGCTGAGGCGGGCTGCAGCGGCACCGCCAGTCGCTGTGCTAAAGCGAGCTGCAGCAGCACTGCCAGCAGCTGAGCTGGGGCGAGCTGCAGCAGCACCGCCGGCAGCTGAGCTGAGGCGGGCTGCAGCGGCACCGCTCGCTCTGGCGTCCGGCTCAAAACCACGATAGTCCGTGACTAACGAACATGCGCGATGGGCGCCATGCTGCGTGACAGAAGCGGTCGAAAACCTCAATAACCAATCGATGAACACACATATGACGGCTACAGCCACGCCAGCACAAAACCTTCACTCATAACTGGAAACGTGACTCTGAGCTGGCGACTGAGCTGAACGTTAACTGGGCTGCCATATTCAACAGCGTCAGGCTGCCATGACATTTTGCCGCGGCTGCGCTGTCAACACAATGGCTTACGCTCGATAATACACGCACGCCCTGCCAGCACTCGCAGCGCAGGTCGCGGGGCGGCGGGCGCCGGGAAGCGGCGGCGGCGGCGGCGTACCTCACCAGTCCGTCGGAGCCGGCGGCGGCCGCAGTGACGCGCCGGCCGGGCCCCGGCCGCGCGTCCAGGTCCATGTAGCGCGTCTCGGGCCGGCCGTCGGGCCGCCGGCCGTCGGAGCGCCGGTCGGCCGGGCGCGCCATGTGGGAGCTGAGCTCGACGCACTCGGCGCCGACCAGCCGCCACAGCTTGAGCTGGGCGCGCCCACCGGCCGACAGCAGGTAGCCGGCGTCGGCCTGGCCGCCGCCGACGGCACACAGCGCGCGCACCGAGCTGATGTGGGCGCGCAGCGTGACAAGCGGCCGCAGCGGGCGGCCCGGCGCCGCCGACAGCAGACGGACGGTGGTGTCCTCGCCGGCGGTGGCCAACAGCGCGCCACCGTCCGGCGCCCGGCCCAGGTGCAGCGCCGAGAGGGTAGCGCCGCTCTGCAGGCCCGGCTGCAGGCGGCGGCGCGTCCGTTAGTCGGAACCGACCTGTCAGACTCAGCTGACCAGCGACTGCCGTCAGTCGGCACCGACCTGTCAGACTCAGCTGGCCAGCGACGGGCCTGAGTCGGCATCGACGGGTCAGACTCAGCTGGCCAGCGACGGCCCTGAGTCGGCACCGACCGGTCAGACTCAGCTGGCCAGCGACTGCCGTCAGTCGGCACCGACCGGTCAGACTCAGCTGGCCAGCGACTGCCGTCAGTCGGCACCGACCGGTCAGACTCAGCTGGCCAGCGACGGCCGTCAGTCGGCATCGACCGGTCAGACTCAGCTGGCCAGCGACTGCCGTCAGTCGGCACCGACCGGTCAGACTCAGCTGGCCAGCGATGGCCGTCAGTCGGCATCGACCGGTCAGACTCAGCTGGCCAGCGACGGCCCTCAGTCGGCATCGACCGGTCAGACTCAGCTGGCCAGCGACGGCCCTCAGTCGGCACCAACCGGTCAGACTCAGCCAGCCAGCGACGGCCGTCAGTCAGCACCGACCGGTCAGACTCAGCTGGCCAGCGACGGCCCTCAGTCGGCACCGACCTGTCAGACTAAGTCAGCCAGCGACGGCCGCCAATCCGCCAGCCACACAGACAGACGGGCGACCACAGCGTCCAGTTAGTGGCAGTGGGGCGTCCGAAAACAAAACCGCCAGCAACACTAAAGGTGGTATTGTATTTGAGCGGTGCCCCAGTGACATTTGGTGGCTGCATTGCAATACGTGATTCTGCCATCTCGCACTACCATGCCTCTTTTAGCCAAGTGGACGGCGGAGGCGGGCGACTCACCTTAATGACCGACGTCTGAAGATCGGCCAGGAGACAGGAGACGTGTCGGACCTGCCTCTCTGAGACCCAGCTGAGCCAGAGTGCGTCGCTGGAGACGGAGAGCGCCCAGGAGCGGTGGCCGCCGCCGCAGGTCACGCGCCACAGCTCCCGCTCGGCCGCCACTGACCAGAGCACAAACTGAGACTGACCGCGGCGACGGCCAGGGTCAGGCACCGCCACTGGCCAGAGCACAAACTGAGACTGACCGCGGCGACGGCCAGGGTCAGGCACCGACAATGACCAGAGCACAAACTGAGACTGACCGGGGCGACGGCCAGGGTCAGGCACCGACAATGACCAGAGCACAAACTGAGACTGACCGCGGCGACGGCCAGGGTCAGGCACCGACAATGACCAGAGCACAAACTGAGACTGGCCGCGGCGACGGCCAGGGCCAGGCACCGACAATGACCAGAGCACAAACTGAGGCTGATCAGCTTTTGAAAATTCACATTTTTTTCATTTAGCTCAGAACATACCAAGACTGCCAGTATAAGTTGTCAGACGGCAAAGGAGGCGCGGACCAACCATGTCCCATCAGTCGACGACCGGCCCGCAGCCCACCCGGGCAGGCGGGCGGCGCGCTCACCGCTTGGAAGGCGATGAGGGTGCAGTGGCCGTCCACCTGCGCGAGGCCAGCCGTCCACTGCCAGGGCAGTCGGCGGACGGTGAGCTGGCACAGCTGGCCGGGCCGCGCCGGGTCGCTGGCCAGTCGGCGCAGCGAGCCGTCGCGCCCGGTGGCCAGCAGGCAGCCGTCAGCCGGCGTCAGGCTGGTGGCGCCGTGGCGGCCCAGCAGCCGCCGCAGCGTCTGCGCCGGCAATACCTGCCGGCGGTGGCGGCCGGTCAGCGCCGGACGCGGCGGGGGGTCGCCGTCAGCCGGGGCGGGATCAGCGCGGTCTGCTGCGTACCCGGTCCGGGCGGAACACGTGAAGGCCGCCTTCCCTGTCAGCAGCCGTCAGGCAGCCCTGGTAGAGCGCCGCTGCTGACAGCCATCGCTGCTTGCACGGAGGTAGCTGGTGGCGGCACACCAGTGAGAACGTGCCACTGCCACCTGCCGGCGCAAACGGAAACATATATTCGTCATTTTTGCTGCAGATGGTGACCAGATCAGATTTGCTGCAAAAGAACGATGAGAAGGAATCAAAATTCAGTTAGAATCCTTTACGGTAGCCCAGCATTATTGGCACGCAGGTAGTGAGGTGCAGCATGACATAATATAACTTTAAGTATCTCAAAGCACTCGACATCAGAAATGCACATGGTGTTACAAATGATTAATTTTGTTTTAGGGCAGCAGTGAATGTAAAAACAGTGGCCTAAGCGGTCACAGACATAAGACATAAACACATAAAGAAATTCGGCCGACAAAGAGCCACAAGGACCCATTGATGTTGTGCTCCCTCAGGTTCTGTACCAATTCTCGGAACTAATCTCCTGGCCTACATAAATTTGGCTATAAATGAGACCTTTGGACCAACAGAATCTGTACAAACGGTTTCTGAATGTCACTAGAGAGGAACTTCCTACAACTTCGTTTGTCAGCCCATTCCAGTGGTTCACCACTCCTGAACATTTCTTACCTATTCTTGAACATTTCCCACATCTGATGTGCAGTGAGGCCAGTTAGAACATCCTCACACTGGATGCTAGCAAGAAAGGAAAGTACTCCAAATCTACCCCTAGCAAAATACAGAATAAGAGTATGATAAGCCTTACCTGAATAACCTATAGACATTGGAAACCTTGTAACATTATGGTCACTGTTTCCCAAAGTCTCACCCACTATCATAGCATCTACCAAACCCTCCTAATTAGTCATAACAAGATCTAAAGCCTCACCTCCCCTAGTGGGTTCACACACCACCTGCTGAAGAAAATTTTCTTCAAAACAAGCAAAGATATTTTGTGGTTATTTAACGATCGGTCTAAATCTACGCTCCAGCCTGGGATGTTGAAATCCCCCAGCACGACACATTTTTGATTCCCACCTCTGCCAGTTTCTTCACACATTTGTGGCCAGCTCCCCACAACTATTTGGAGGTCGATAGAAGATTCAAACGTGTAACTCGTTGCCCTTTAACACAACCAAATCTATCCAGGGGGATTCTACACCATCACCAATCTTCATGCTGTCTACAGTTTCACAGTTCATATCCTGCCTTACATATACTCATATCTCACCTCCTCTTTTAGCTTTTCTGTGAAAAGTAAACACATTGTACCCAGATACTTCAAATTCACGTAAAATATCCCCAAAAAGCTGCTCACTGGTATCCAAGGTTCCGTAATAGCTACCACGTTTAATTTTTCAAGTGTATGAGCATGGGGCTCACCACACTTGTTTCTGAAACTCCTTGCATTTGCATAGGAACACCTTAGTTTTCCTACATTTCTTTTTGGCTCGATGTTCCTAAATTCTGAATTTTCATTGCTTAGGTGTTCCATGTTCACCTTCCCATCCACAGGAGCTAGCTTCCCTTGAGGATATGCTCGCACGCCCTACTCAGGACGAAATGTGTACAGTAAAGTAACAACATTCATCAAGGAATGCATTATAAGCGAGCGCATTTCATCGGCCAACACACTCAATTTCCCTCAGTTCGTCAATAAGTAACTACTAGTGTTTCAGTAGGAGCCAGGGATTACTAGACAAGTGGGTTCAGGAGAATGGGTTGGTGGATGAAATACTTTTGGTGATATATGACAGCTCTATTCACAAGTATTTACTGACCTAACTGCAGCACTTGCAGTTGGCCGGCACCATCACACGCGACTATTGTGTCCGATGACAGCCAAAGGGCGCTGTAGATCTTGCTGTCCCATAGCAGCTGATCGCCGACCCGCACAAAGCAATGGCCATCTGGGAAACCGTTCAACAGTTAAAAGGCGGCCGAGTGGTGCCCGAACATCGGTCTATTGTTGATAATCATTGGGCTTCTTCATGGCCAATCATCGACCTTTTTCTAGTACAAAGCTAAGCAAGGTAGAATTGAGCTCCAGGCAGTCGACCCGACGCGGATACCCACCGCACCAGACGACTCGCCTCACCTACGGGTGACGAAGCCCACCACCACTCACTGTCCCTGAAGACGGCGAGCAGGCTCCCACGAGAACCCGCCCCTGGCGATCGCAAGCCTTACACCACTCACCGTCCCTCAGTGTGACGAGCTCGCCGCGCAGGCCGGCCAGCAGCACGTGCCGCCCGTCGGGGGCGGCGGCCAGCAGGGCATAGCTGGCCAGCCGCGGGTCAGCGTACACCTCCCGGGCGCGCACGTCAAGCGCCGTTCCGCTCCAGCACAAGCAGCCGGCCGGCATCCGTCATCAGCAGCTGGCGACGGGCGTCGAGCGACGCCAGCGCGCGCGCTCGGTCGCCGGGCGGCGGCGGCAGGGCACGAGGCGCTGCCGTCGCCGCCGCGTCCAAGCGCCACAGCAGCACGCCGCCGTCGCCGCCGCCGGTGGCCAGGCGGCGGCCGCGCCGGCAGACGGCGGCGGCCCGCACGCTGGAGCCCTGGTGCGCGCTCCAGCGACGCTCCAGCCGGCCGTCGGCCGCCCACAGGCACACGCGCGAGTCCTCGCCGACACTGACGACACGGCCGTCGAGCGGCAGCGCGCGCCAGACGCGCGCCTCGTGTCCGAAGAGGGCGGCGTCGACGGCGGCGGCGCCAAGACGCCAGTCGCCGCCGTGCGGCCGCCACAGCCGCACCGACCGGTCGTCGGAGCAGGAGACGAGCGTACGGCCGCCGGCGTCCAGCGCCAGGTGAAACAGCACGCCACTGTGGCCGGACAGGCGGTGCAGGACACCGCCAGCGCCCGGCGCCCACACCAGCACCTGGCAGAACACGGTGCCGCAGAAGGCTAGCAGCGACCGCCACCGGGCGCCGAGCAGTGCTCCGCTGTACAGCAGGCAACGGTCCGGGCAGCGGGTCGCTTCCGCCACGCGCAGATCGGCGCCGAGCCGCAGCAGCCGGCCGTGCGCGTCCAGGGCGGCCAATCCGCCGTCCGCCAGCCACCGCACGTCCAGCAGCCACCCAGCCAGGTCAGCCGACAGCCGCTCCCGCCGCAGTCTGCCGCACGCGGGTCAGCCGCGTGTCACAGCCGATACGCATGGCACAAAGCACCACACAGCTCGTGTCACGAACCGAGCCAGGAGGTCTCGCGGGTCAGCCGACGCTGTGGCGCGACCGCTCGGGTCAGCTGACACATACCCACACAGGCCAGCTCGCGGCAGATGCGTTCGCTGTCGCCACACACTGGGTCTACACAACAGTTACGGCCCGAGCGTGCTCCAGAAAAGACAACTGACAGCTCACACTGGCGTAGACGCGATGGCTGCCGCCTCAGATTGGTACAGACATGACAGCATGCCACATCACCCTAGCCCAAGCTCGCGCTGCTGGTTCTCCGCGCCGTCCCTGCGTCCACTTACGACACATGGCACATCAGGCTCTCAGAATACGCGGGGAACGCTAGCCTTCATAACATCACTTGCTGGTCGACATGACTACACTTGCATTTTGCAAGCGTTTCCTTACCGTCCTTTCTCGTCGAGCGAAACCTTGCAGAGTCGTCTTCCGCCATAGACGGCCAGCTGGTGGCAATTAACAGGCCTATATTTGCCGTCGTTTACCAGATGCGCTGCAGACCGCTCATTGTCTGCATGCAGTGCAAACTCTGCCGAGGACCTGGCCAGCCACTGCCTCCCTGTGCACGCCGAAGAGTGCACAGGCTGACTATCTGTATGTGCCAGTGCAGACTGGTCATCTGTGCATGCCTGATACTGTGCAGACTGGCCATCTGTGCACACCAGAGACTGTACCGATGGACCATTTGTGCACACCAGAGACTCTGCAGAATGGCTGTCTGTACACACCAGGGACTCTGCAGACTGACTGTCCATACACACCAGAGACTCTGCAGACTGCTCACTGATTCCGTGCACCTGGCAATCAGGGAATACTGACAGCTGGCTCACAGCTGTGCAGTCATCCAGGCCATAACTGCTGACCATGCCACCCTCGCCTGCCAACAAAGAGCAGTCAAAGTCGCCAGTGACAAAGTTCTCAAACACTTGGCAGTCACTTTGACTACATGACTTGTATTGCTCAATATGGCTTCACATCCATGCCCACAAAGGTAAAGAGACATACCAGAAAGGTGCATGGGAAGTACACAAAATAATACATAAGATTCATTCATAACAAAGGGGGAAAAGTCTAACAGATGTTAGGGTAAACACCACTTACCTACAAGAAGAAAGTTGCCAATATTATGCAACAAAGTGATGGGAATTGACAATCCTTCAGTTTTCCATGATTCTGCCATAGTTGGTCTCTGGTGTTCATGACCCTGAAAAGTGGTGCAGTTGAAGTTGAGCTTTATTGTTGCTTTATGCCTTACTGTCACATTGAGCAAATGCATTTTGTACAAGACATTTTTGAGCTTGTTCTTTACTTTGTGAGCAAAAATATATATAAATACAAAAAACATATAAATATCATAACCATCCTTGATAGTGATAACTTTATCAGGACATCAAGAGGCAAGTAACCAAGAGGCTATGCTTTTGTTTCACAGTTGTCAGGTTTCTGCACAGAATGACATGGCCTGGAATGATGGATTGAATGGCATATCTGCATAATTTGGAACCTGTGATACTAGAATGAAGTGGTATTGTTACATATTTGCATACTTTCTGGGCATAGCCAATCCCTGTGAGTCACCACCACTCATTGCTGGAACTGGTGAGAAGTTGACAACAAAATCAAGGATAAAAATGTATAAATGCCACAAAGGCACCTCAACCTGCCAACCAGTTGTTGATGTAAGTTGTAAGTAATCATAAGTTGTAAACAATCGTAGGTCGCAAGTTGAGAATTCTGTACAATTTAGCCTAATTTAACTTTGACACATGTGCGGTGTTCATAACACCCATGCCATAAAAATCTAGTACAATGAACACACTATTTGCAGACTGAAGGGTGGGTGAGCTAAGGGTAATATGTTTGGCCAGAAAGTGACATTTTTTCAATGAGTCGTCAATTACTTTTCAGGTATCAAAACAATCGGTTACAATCACACGAATCTCTTTAAAACTGGACGATACATTACTTGAAGGATATTGTTTCGAGAAAGCATGCACGTGAGTACGATGATATAATGTCCTAAATAAGAAATACTTAAAAGGGGAAACTGTAAATAATGCTCTTTGTAACGTACGACACAGCTCCCCGCCACCGTCACGTCCCATCAGTTCAGTGTTGCCGTTTTGGCTTCTGCGAGCGTACCAAAAAGGTGCACAAAATGTGCCAGATTTGCAAACCAGCGTACTACACAGATGTCCAAAATGCACCAGGCTGTTCACCACTTGCGGCACGCTAAAATGGAGTTTTTCAGTCTCAAAATTTGGATTGTGCCCCGGCCAATTGCAATAGCCTGCGTGCATCTTTATGCTAAAGCAAGTAAACATTGTCTGGCATAAAAAAGATGAAATATAAAGAGACAATGAAATATCGCGAAGTTAATCATCATTCAGGGTATGAGCCATGAGAGTTACCTGAACTGCTGAGGGCGTAGTTATGACAACTACTTCAGTTATATGAGGAGCGGCTAATTCTATCTAAATTTGAGTTAACTGCTCATCCAACCCGAGGCCGGCCCCAGGACTGACCTTTTAGCGCTTCAGCCGAGCCCGGAGACTTGCAGAAGGCACCTACTCGAAGCGGGTTGGTGCGTGTACTGACGAGTACCCACCAGGGCAGCTGTGGCTGACACTCCCAGACCGTTCTTGGACGGAGTGTCTATCACACTGAGCGCAGAGAAGATACGCTCGGCAGCTGCACTCGAATGAGGTAGCGACAGTAGTGCTTGCACGAATGGTGTTAGAGTTGGAAAGGCACGTTCACATTCGTTGTCTTTGCTTTCCGCCACGGCAGCCTAGTATGCTCGACTGGGAGATCAGTACTTGGAACTTTGTCCCCAATTGTGCATTTGAGCTGTCTCCATTCCGCGTCCAGTGCCTCGTAGTCTCGTTGCGGTACCATGTTGGGAAACCTCACCGCAAGAGGGGCAATCGACTTGACGTCGGACAGCGAATCGATGGCTTCCAGGAGCTTCCACGTCCCATCTCGGAAATCAAGCCGAGACCGGATGTGCTGGAACAGTTCGATGTAAAACATCTGCACGTGCGGTCCGAAGAATTCCTGGACGTCTGGTTGCACGGGTTTGGCTAACACCACTGCCTATTCCTCAGCTCCGCAGTACATATCCGGAAGTGGTACGAAGTTGCGAGGATCCGAAGGGTGCATGTGCCCCGGGCTCGGCTCCCCTTCCTCAAACTGCAAGTAGTTTTGAGCCACCGTCCTGTACAATATAAACAGCGTCTTCCGTGAGGCGTGGATCTGAGCGCACTCGGACTGGAGGGGTTGGTTTGCCTGGTTGATCACAGGCAAGATGTACCTCAGGGAGGCGAAATGCATCTCGAACAGCGGCTGTTTCAGCGCGTTTAGGATGGTTCTCGTAGCTTGGACATATTGTTCCTTAATAATAATTGTTTCTAAAAGAATTTAAATGGGCCTCTCAAATTAAAAACAAAAATTAAAAACAAAAATTCCCGTAATGTTCCTGAATAATGTTCGGTAGCCTAAAAGGAAGCAGAACAGGCCGCTGCTCACACATCCTGCGCACGATAGCTCCCAGCGACAGTCAACTCGTCTGGAACGGACGGAAAAGTCTACGCACAGAAGCTTCAGCTATCCCTTGGATGCCCTTGAACTCCAGTGGTCTCTTCAGACTGTTTCCGATGTGGTCGAAACATCTCTCGCCAGGTCCTCGACCGTGGGCGGCAGCTTCAAACACGCTGCGGACGCGTACAGGTGCAGTGAAGTACAAACACATCCGGTCACAAGGATATGAGGTGCGCCCTTCTTCAACAGGGTTTGAACGCCCCTATGTTTGTCCGTCATGACACTTGCGTTGTCGGCGCCGAGTCTTATTACGTTGGAGAATGGCACCTTGTTCGACAACACTTTCGGGACGTCTCGGTGAATATCCCCGGCGGACGCATCTTTGACCTCCACAAGATACACGAACAGGTCTTTGGTCGCCTTCATTCGGCTGTCATAAACACGTGCCACAACTGCCAGTGCCTTGTTGGTGGAGCGGTCCATCGTCTCGTCGATCATGAGAGAGTAGCAGCTTTCCCCCGTCAGAGACGACACTCTCGCCAGCTTCTCCACCCTGATGGTGTCTTTAATGACCACGATTGTCTTTGGTCTGACCGATCTAATGTTTTCAGCTATCTGGGAGCCTGGGCAGACCGCATTCACGAGGGCAACAAGATGATCAGCCAAAGCCATCGTAAGGTTGTGCTTCGCGATGAAGCCCGCTATGAGGAGCTCAACAGTGGTCTTAGCTGCATCTAGCGTTCTGATCTGGTGTCTTTCTTCTGCCCTTTCCAGCAGGGATAGCAAATGGACGTTTTTGATGTGGCCGTCGCCGGCAGAGCGTCTCTTCAGGTGAGATAGCTTTGCGGTTAATTCCTTGTGAGCAAATTTCCAGTACGCCTATGTATTATCTCTGACAGCTGCAGCCACGGCTTCAATCCTGATTCACGCTTTCATTCTTTCTTATATCTTTGTACGCAGCCTTTTGAAGACATGCTGGCACTGCGAAGTCCGACAACAACCAATCTAACCGCACACAGCACGTACACGCAGCGAAATGCCAAATGCTCAGTACCAACTGTGTCTTCGTGGTCCGTCGCTCACAGGAAAAGGAATCATATATAATAGCCATCCTCCTGGCCATGCGACCGGACTTGCCCGGCTGCGACTCGATCCGACCAATCGTATCAAACGGGACCAAATCATACCAGTCTCAAAATGTACCAGATTTTGGACGCTCCGTACGTGCGTACCAGATTTCTCGAAAGTGTACCACATTGGGTACGATCGTACAGTAGCGGCAGCGTTGCTCCTACTTATATTGACATGCTTAGAATTGAATCTGTTGCGCAATATCTGTCTCAACCCGATCGAGCCGCGGGGAGTTTAAAGGCTGCGATATGGACGAAACGGCCGACCAAATCTATTGACAGCCCCACGCCCCGGGCCTATGACACTGATCGACATGAAACTTTCTCGATGCCGCTTGGTCGATAACCTATCCTTTCAAGAATATGGTGGCCTTGGATCAGGCCCAAGTCACAAATAAGCACGGGCGGATCCAGGATGTTGTCAAGCGGGGCACGTAACATTGTAAGGGTCCAGTAGAGTTTATAGATATATATATATATATATATATATATATATATATATATATATATATCACGGATAGCACGGACATACGGATACGCAAGCATTAGACTTGATTCCTAGCTTATTTACGGGCAGCCGGCTGGGTGATTTTATCAGCTGGTGGCTGATGACTAATGCATAATTGTTCTTTGTTAACAAGAAGTAGACATATTTTAGCGGTCAATATATGTTGAGAACGTGATGGAAAAGTGTAGTGAGTGCCACTTACTCGAAAACTGAGGGAGGTGACACATACGACGTCGGCGGCACGTACAATTGCGTTCGACAATTGCGCGTTAAAATTCATCGGCGCATATCCAACTGCTGCTCTAAGGCTTAGACACCAAGGACAATAAGGACGGAGCCTGAGCAACCGTGAGTGTCGCAGGAGGCCAGCAAAGAGACTCCCGTCAACAAGTATAGGGTCCTGAGAGCAAGTGGAATGAACCCACGACCAACGCGGCGATTTTCCCGAAGGATCAATAGGGCCCCGGAAGGCTGACATAAAAGGCCCGGGCTGAGCACGGGTCCCTCTGAGCGAAGAGGAATACCCAGGATCATGAATTGATACCCCTGTGCGGTCAAGAGTGCTAGGGCCGGCTAACATAAAGGGCTTTGATAGGAGTGAAGAGTCCTCTGCAAATGAGATCAAAGGGAAAGAGCCATTGATCAAAGCAGAGGGCCCCTGGACATCGATGGTCTCTGTGCCGTACCTTATATGAGCCCCATGCAACAGCACAAGGCCCTCCAAGCAAGTGGAAAGAGCCCGAGACATATATGAACGGCCCCTGAGTGTACACTGGCAATATGGGGCCCCGGAAAAAGCGTACAGAGCCTTTAGGGCGACTGGGAAAAATCCGTGGAGGACAACCTGATCGATCAAGAGTGCCCGGGCATGGAAGCAGATAGCGTCCCAACAGCAGCGTTGGGCCCTACGAGAAAGCGCAAAGAGATCAAGGGCAACGTGGAAAGCTCCTTAGCCATCGCATTAAACCGGCGAGTTGACGCATAGGACCCGAGCAAGAGTGTAGTGCTTCTGGACTGGACACCAAACTTTCCCCCGAGCAACACCTTCTCAATCAGCGAAGAATTAACTTTGTCTGCTTATGAACTCTTCACTTTTGCTGGCAATTCTCCTTATTGGTCTATAGACCCAAAGACGTTCAATTTTGTTGTTTTTGTTTTTTCAGAAAACTAGCCCGTTGGGCTGGTTATGGGCCCCTTCAGGGCCCATAGGTCCACTCGGCACGGTCCACGGGGGCATGGTCCTGTGTCTCTTCTCCCCGCCCCTCTGTATCCGCCACCGGCCCGAGCAGCTTATTAGGTGGGGCTCGCCAAGAGCATCGGGCCATCAATTCGAGTAAGAAGTACCCAAAACACAGTACAGAGGGCCCCGGAATGATCGAGTGTGCCCGAGCAGGTTAACAGATGGGGGCCCCCGACAGGAGCGCAGGGCCCTCCATTCAAACAACAAATGCTCCCTACACAATGCTGGGGCCCCCGAATGATCGAGTGTGCCCGAGAGGTTAACATGTAGGGCCCCAGTCAAGAGCGTAGGCCCGCCATTCAAATAGGAAGTACCCAAGACCCAATGTAGAGGGTTCCCAATTAATCGAGTGTGCCCGAGCAGGGTAACAGATGGAGCTCCCAACAAGAGCGTTGGCCTCCCATTCGAAAAGGAAGCACCTCAGGCCAAATGTAAGTGGTCCCCGCACGATGAAATGTATCCGAGCAGCCTATCAGAAGATGCCTGACACAAGCGCAGAGCCTTCATTCAAATGAGAAGTACCCGAAACTCAGCGCGGAGGGCCCCGAAAGATGGAGTGTACCCGAGCAGACTATCAGATGGCCCCCGACGGAATGCAGGGCTCCAAATTCAAACAGCAAGACCCGATGTACAGGGCTCGCGAGCAATCCACTATAGCTGAGGAGGAGAACAGGTGAGACCCTGATAATTGCGCAGGGCCCTCCATTCAAGTAAAAAGCACTCAAGACGCAATGTAGAGGGCCACCGGCACAATCGAGTGTGCGCGAGCGGGTGAGCAGATGGGGCCCCTAACAAGAGTGTGGGGGCGCTCTGTTCTAACATGAAATACACGATGAAGAGGGCACGATGATGACATGGGCAAAAAGACACGATGGAGAGGGCCCCCGAATGATCGAATGCGACAGAGCAGGTTAACAGATGGGGTTCCGTGAAGAGCGTAGGGCCCTCCATTCAAGTAGAAAGCACCAAAGACCCAATATAAACCCCCCATCCCCACACCGAACGATCAAATGCGGCCGAGTGGGTTGTCAGAAGGGCCCTGACAAGAACGAAAGGCCCTCCATTCAAATAAGAAGTACCCAAAACGCAGTGCGGAGGCCCCCGAAAGGTGGAGTGTACCCGAACTAGTTACCAGATGGCCCCCGACAGAAGTGTAGGGCCCTGAAAGCAAATATCAAGACCCAGTACACAGGACTGCAGAAGGACCCAGTGTGGCCGAGGAGGCGAACACATGGGGTCGCCGACAGGTGCGTAAGGTCCCAATTCAAATATGACGCACCAAAGACCTCATGTAGAGTGCCCCTGGAAGATCAAATGTGACCGAGTAGGTTATGAGATAGGCCACCGACAAGAGCGTAGGATCCCCATTCAAGTAAGTGCCCAAGACCCAGTTTGAAGGGCCACGGAAAGACCGAGTGTACCCAAGCAGGCTATCACATGGTCCCTAATAAGAGCGTAGGGCCCTTCATTAAAATACCCAATGTGCAGGGCCCCCAAACAATTCAGTGTGCTTAAGCAGGTGAACAGACGGGGCTCTGACGAGTGTGTAGGGCCCTCCATTCAGATAGAAGGTACCCAAGATCCACTTTGGAGGGCCCCGAACGATCGAGTGTGCCCAAGCAAGTTAACAGATAGGACCCCGACAAGAGCATGGGGCGCTAGGCAAGTGATAGAGAATTACAAGCGCCCGAGGCCAATGCGGAGCGCCTATGAGCATGTCGCGAATGTGTCAGTAGGTTAGCCGAGACCATTGTAAAGGGCCCTATGAGCAACCGAGAATACCCCGGAAGTTTGGAGCTCCAGCTATACCCACAGAGTCTTTCTGGCGAATGGAAAGAATTATTGGAAGGTCCGTGATTTACGAGAGCGCCCCCGCACGCTAGCAGGAAGGGCCCAGGAACAGTGCAGGGCCTTCCCAGCAAATACAGAGAAATCAAGGACAACGCGAATGGTTTCTTAGCAATCGGAATGGCCCTGCAAGTGCGTATGTAGGTCCCCCGGAAAGAGCATAATGCCCAGCAACAGCGAAATGGCGATTTAAATTCCCAATAAACACCTTTTCGGTCATTGAATAATTTTTGTTTTGTACAGGCGTTTGCACGTTTGCTCCGTTGAGCTAAGTTTAAAGCACACGTAATTCGGAACATTTACTTTTGCAGTTGAATTCACGCTTCCAGCTGCTATAGGTATCGAGATACGACGCACAATGTGAATAACACTCGAGTGCCTAAATTGAAAATGCGAAAGTGAAGAGACCGTGAACAGACAGAGGCGCTTCTTGGCTGATTGAGGGGATGGTGATTGGGGGACATTTGGGGCTTATTTCGCTGTTATCAGGGCCCTGTTTGTTTGCTTGACAGGTCAATCCAAACGCTAACGAAGCTTCTGAGTTGTCCTTGATATCTTTGCATTTTCTCGTAGGGTCTTACGCTGCCGTTGGGTAAGACAGCGAGCCATTCGGTGATCACGGATACTCTGCATTGATCTGGGGCTCTTTGTCCTTAATCTCAGTCGCGGCAGACCCTTCGCTTTTATCCGTATCCTTTTTGTTAACCTGTCTTTTTGTTAGGGACCATTGATCACGTAGGGGCATTTTTCATGCACATTAGTCTTGAGTAAGCTCGCTTTGCTCAAGGGGACCAGTGCTCTGGCCGGGATCCCATGTGTCCATGTCAATGTGTCAATGCCTGTCAATGTGTCCCTGCTGGGGCACTCCCGATCGTTCATGGACCCAACACGTTGGTCTTAGGTTCTTCTCGTTTGCTGTGAGGACTCTAATTTGCTGGTTATTGAATTTGATGGCATTTAGGGGCCAACTTTAGTGCATTTTGCTATGTTTTTCCAATGATTTACTATGATCTAGAGGAAATGAACAAGCTCCGTATATGTGCATACGCACCATACCTAGTTTTCTAGTGCTGCATACAGTAAGATGGACTTTTATAAGAATCTAGAAATTGGATGGCCGGAACGCGATGATTTTTTTTTAGGGTCGCCTACTCTAGGGAGTCTCACAATGTTGCATACTCCTACCCCCGTTGACGGAATCTTAGACCCGCCGCTGCGTCCGCGTCGCTACAAACATTTAACGGCGCAGAATCAATGAAGCATGACGTCATGAGTGATATCGACATGAGTGACTTCTCCCTGATGGTGAATGATGAAGGCCATCCCCCTGCGAAATATAAATCACTGGATATGACCCACTTGAATTCGAGGGGTGAGATTTTTTATCACATTTATCTCTGTCCTTTTTTAACTTCAAAGGAGCCAAGAGTCATCGGATTTTAAGTCAAAGTGAAGCAGCTAGGCATGACATGGTGGGGTGGAATAAAGCGCTGGCACTTTTCATTTCACAAAAGCTTAGTGCACTACTTCTAAAACGTTGGTACTTAGGGTCTTTTACAGATAGTTTTTGTATTATATAAAGAGATGTTGCGGGCCGATGAACGTATCGTGCAGACCGAAATGAGTCAACATTTTGTATCAACGTGGCCAAGAGATGTTCCTCTGAAAATGTTTAACCTGTTTGCAGAATAGAACAATGGAAAATACGTATTTAATTATGAACTTACATACTTGCAAGTCTTAGAGCTCGTGATTTGGCTCACAAGCCAATCCTTATGGGGCCAACTGCGAAATAAGTCGGCTCATTAGGAAAAATGGCGCCTTGAGCTAATAGTTTAATCACATTCTTTGAACATTTCATGAGTGTTATCGTGAGCCGATCATTTCTAACAACGACGTATCAGTGAGCCATATGGCTCAAGTTGAATTGGTATCGTGAGAAAACACAGCATGTCCCAGACAAATCAGCATGCCATTTCAGAGTGTTGAAATAAATGGCATGCAGCATCAGTATTAGCATGCAATTTCAGTGTTGAAATAAATAGCATGCACATGCAGCAGCATTTTGCAAAATCAGGAAATAGTTTGCTAGTGTAATTTCCAAGCAGCAAACACAATATTGTTGGCCATGATTTAAAGGTTGTCAAATCTCAGTCAAGAACAAGAGGATATTACATGATACAGACATCATACAAGGGTCTACACTAATGCGTCTGGCCCGTAGGTGCCAGGAAAAATGTGCTAGCCTAAAACTGAGACTTAAGAGAGCTGGTTGGTAACAGGCTTCGTGGGGAGTGTTATTCGCGTACCGCGTTTGTTAGGCTCAAACTAAAAACTTGCAAATGTGCTTCATGTACCTATTTTTATTACTCCTATATATATATATATATATATATATATATATATACGTATAGCTTAAGGAATTGTATGTCTCTTGAGTCATAAGGCAAGGAGCCAGAACTGCATCGGATCTTTGATTTGGAAACCCGCGTGGATCATGAGCCAAATGATCCAACGCAAGCGATTAGCCCGAGCTGAATAAACAATATTAGAACGTCTATGAGTCATGGTTGAATCGGAACCTAAAATGTGGGAGCCGGTCCTGAGCCAGCTAAAAATTGCGTTGAATACAAATCTAATCTTAACAATGGACGTGGTTAATTATGCCATTTGTAACGGATCAAACACCTTCGTGTTACTCGTGGTCGGCTCTAAGCCGACCGCATGGTCGTGGTGAGCACGCGAAATGTCTTCTTAGCAAGTGAAACTGTCGCGCCACTTCTAGCTCACTTTGTTCAAGTTGCCAGAAAAGATTCTGCGAGTGCGACAAAGTTATTAGGTCACGTCATATGCGTAGAATCCTCTGTTCCGGATTCGTTTAGAATGGCGTGATATAATTCAGGTTCCCAGCTCTGTGAAAAGCATGCCTTCAATACGTGAGCCCTAGGGGTCAGTAGGAAAAGTACGCCGTTAAGAGTTTGTGCTACCAACGTATACCGTGGGGCCTGTGATTGATAAATTTAATGATTCGCTGTTAGTTGTCGGACAAACGACTGCCATCCGGAATAAAGTGACATTATTTTCCATGTCCAGCATTTTGTTTGCATTTAGAGTCTGAAGTCAACGTGTTTTTTGTATGATCACTTTTGCGTATGGGCACCAACGGACTTACACAACCCGTGCAGTCAAATTAGGACGGCGGATCTAGAATCTGGAACACTGTCAGAATGAGATTCGAGCCGCCCCACTCAACGCGGACAACAAGCCGTCGATCTTTGGATGATGGCAACCCTCATTTTAGTTGGACCACCTAAACCATGTGATAATGTGATATCGTCGTGCACCAGACGCTATGTTTGTTTGAGACTTCTGAGTCTGTTTGTGCAACACCCAGATAGCTTAGCCATGGCGTAAGGCACATGCCGCGCCCGAGAGGTTGTATACATACGGGGTTCCGCCGAAGCATTACACGGCCATCCCCGGGGCCACCGGCCAGGGGTATGCGAGAGGCAGTCAGTGCGCGAGCGGAGACGGCGTCGGAGGGCCGGCTCAGCATCGGACCTGCACTTCGCCGTCAAACGACCCTCCAGC